CGGATCATGTGATTGTTCGCTTCCCTGTGTGTGCTCTGGGTACTGCCCCTCGCGTTGTTTCCTGTAGCTGTGTGCTTATTGTGCTGTTGTCTGTGTTCTTGTATTCACATGCCGGATTCCCTTGCATTCATGTATCCACATCATCCGGGTGACGTCACATGCTTATCATAGTGCCAGTGGTGTAACGATGTGCTAGTATTGTTTTCCTGTGTGATGACATTCCCCAAACTGTCTCCTGTCTCGCATGCGCACGTGTGATATGAGCATGCATGATTCGTGAGTCTTCAGTCAGCGAGTCTTGATACACACATGTAACACAGTGTTATCTATGTGTTTACACGGTGTACTTGTAGGTTGAACTAGCTGGTGTCGACTTGACTGACCTGGGCAAGAAGCTGTTTGCCCTCAAGGCATGGGCATCCGCGCACACGAAGGTGCCCCGCGCCAAGGCTAAGAAAAAGACATAGACTACGTGTTCGCATGGCTCTTTGTACATTCACAGTTGAGTGCCTCGTTTTATGTGTGTATGTTTAAATCATGTACACCCTCTGATGGGAGTATGATAATGTAGTCATCTAGGACGGCTGGACTGTCCCTAGTGTTCCAAGTGCATATTGACGCTAACCTCCAATGTTATATCCAGCAAGTATCAGATCTGCACTATCGCACATAGAACTGGTGTATATTTCTTTACTGTGTTGACTCACTACCCTACTAGCCACAGTCATATTTATATCAACAATAACGTGGGCACCGCATTATTTTTTGTTTAGGAGCTGTCGGTATGCCGGTAGCATGGGTCACGCTAGTGCAAAATAGGCTAGACTACATGCAGCCAAGAACCAGGCACTATTCCATCCAAGAAATAGTGGGAGTAGCTATCCTGATGCCTTGCAACATGTCCAAACCACTTCAACTTGATGCTTGGTAACGAGAGAGCTTGGAAGCTCAGGGCCCTACGCTATGCTTTTTTGCCTTGATGACCGAGACAAAAAAAAGCATAGGGATGTTATAAATTCTTATAAGTTTCTACTTTTTGTTTTTAGACATATTAAACCTGGGATTCGAACCCGCACTATCGCCCTGCATGCATCCCCCGATACACTTCGCATACATACTAATTCTTCCAAGTTGCTTCACGTTATGATCTTGTATTTGAAAGCCCTATTGGAATATGCATTGTGGCCAGCCGTTTTTGATTGTACGGTACGGTCGAGGGTAATACGACACCGTCTACCGCCTTGATGACGGCAAAAAAAGGAAAGGGATGTTATACATTTTTCACTTCTCCTATTTTTTTCGGGCATTACCTGGGATTCGAACCCGCACTATCGCCCTACATGCATTCCCCCATACACTTCGCATTCATACTCATTCTTCCAAGTTGCTTCACGTTATGATCTTGCGGTTGAAAGCCCTATTTGAATATTGCGGCCAGCTGTGTTTGATGGTACGGTACGGGACAGATACGGGATAGCGCCAGGCGTGACACAAACACACAAACACCAAATTAAAGCTGTGTGGACCCTGGCTAGCGCCAGACGTTACTGAAGTAACGTCTTCTGCATAGCTACGGGAATAAAACTAATTATGGACCTTGCTTAAGTATTTTTTTAAATAGTTCAATACTCGTAAAATGAGTGCCAATGGGCAAATGTCCGGTGCTGCACTGAGAACGCATGAGTGGTGACATCTCGTACTGCAATAGGGACTATTTGTATCACGACTAAATATCTTGGTCGTGTTGCTTAATTGCTGCGTCCATCAACTCAATGCACACGTCGGTGGCTTGCCGCGCCAAGCGGCTGACTGCGTGGAAGTTGAGGAAGCCATGGGATATTCCGTCGAATGGGTGTAGTGTCACATCCTTGCCGAGTGCGTGCAGACGACGCGCCATGACGATGGAATCATCCAAGAGGGGGTCAAATGAACTTGGCTGAAAGGTACAACAGAACGGATGGAGAGAGAGAGGGAGAGAGAGTGTGTGTGTGTGTGTGAGAGAGAGAGAGAGAGAGAGAGAGAGAGAGAGAGAGAGAGAGAGAGAGAGAGAGAGAGAGAGATGCACACACACGCACACACACACACCTGTACTTGTTGCTCACTGCCAAAACTGGTCACGTGGGTCTCCCCGGGAGAGGGGAGAGAGACTCGAAAGGAATCTTGGAAAGATGACTCAATTGGTTATTGAACCGCCCAACGGCCGACACCCCCTGAAATCCCCAAAACTCTGGGTGGACTTGAAAACGATCCCACTTATGGGCTCACCACACCTCAGTAAGTGGGTGTGGACAAGGTGCAGAAAAAGGATTGACGGCATCAGGGTATCCGTCCTGGGATCCAACTGCAGTTACCCCTGCCCCCAGTGGAGGTAATACTTGCTACTAGTGCGGGTGGCTAAATCAGGCTGGATCTGATTTAGACATCACTAGCACCATCGATTACACAAGAGTTCATCTAGCCAGAAGCAGTCCATGGTTAACAGGTATGTATACTTCAAATAGAAAGTATATGAACCCTGGAACCAACAAAGGTGGCAAGTACAACATTACACCTTCAAGCAGCCGAGCCCGTTGGCAAAATACCCAACACAGGCATAAGTGTACCCACCAACTGAACTAGCTGGCACACACACACACACACACACACACACACACACACACACACACAGAGTAAGAGATGACCCATAGCACGAAGAAATCTATCGGCAAAGAAACATAGCTTTCTTACTTGAACACCCACAAAGGAGCACAATAGTGTAGCATTTTGAAATGTTCTTGTACTCAAAGATACCGATAAGAAGTACGGCTGAGCCTCAGGCAACTCTTCCACTAGACAGCAGGGGTCCTTCTCCAATGGAGGTCGCTGTCATGGAAGTTCTATCAGCTCATACTGCACACTACTCTCTGTGGAAGGGGTGCTAGTAACCCACCTTCCCATTCCTAGCAGGGTCCAGCACATACATGTAGATGATCTATAATTATGTGCTTACCAAGGTGCTCTGTGTACACTTCACATGACTGACTATTAGAGAGAGGTTAAGCTGCACGTTATTTCTGACGTGATGCGCAATATCACGTCAAATTAGGCGTAAACCTCCAAATTTCGACGTGAGCTGCAGGTCACTTGCGTTGTTTTCCAACGCGCGAGGTGAACTTTCGTGTCACGTAAAGCTTAACCTCTCTATTAACACCCCTTCCCAGACACGCAATATGTCTCAGGCACAATCGATTTTCTATGGAACTCACATGGCCAGCTACTCATTACACACAGACTAGCTGCTCCAGACATAGCTACTCAATACACACAGACTGCTCCTTGCATTGATCAGTATTAAAGGCTTGAAAATGCTAACAGTACAGTCAGACCTCGCTTAACCGCACACATCCGTTTTCCACAAAAATATCCGGATAGGCGAGGGAACTGGATAACCGAACACCGGTTACATTGGATGCATCACGTATGCTGTAAATCTGTAGCCAGCTATTTTCTTCCCGGGGTCGCGAGGGATCCGGATAAGCGAGATCTGACTGTACATCACACCCAGACCCAGAGCTACAGGCCAGGGCCTGTCACAACATTGCTGACCTCTGACTCTGTGCCTCCAGCAGATCCTGTGAAGTACGTACATGTGCATGACTGTACTTCAGAATTATGTTGTTTACATGCTCATCATGTCACATGTAGAGACTACACAGAAGACTCTCTACTCTAGGTCTCCTTTTTGGTGAAACACACTTGCAACATTGCACATGTTGTAAGGTTGCCTAACTTAGTTACATGTACATGACTATTGCATCTAGTCACAATTCACACACCTACGTGTGGTATAGCAGTGCTTGGGTTTTCCGGGGCATCAGATAAAGAAAGCAGGACAAAGGAAGCGACGCAGTTTTGTTTCAATTCCAGGTGATGAAAATCAAAGCTCGAGGTGATGAAAATCAAAGCTTGAGGTGATGTGCACACAGCTACCCAGAAAGTGACAAAACCATACAATGCTGCTCAATGAAGTCCGGTTGTGCACAGCATACACAGCTACCCAGAAAGTGACAAAATCACAGCTAACCAGAAAGTGACAAAGTCACAGCAAAGCACTTTAAAGTACAGTGCTGCTCAATGAAATCCGGTCGCGTGAGTCAAGTTTGCGCCTTGCACCATTTCGCAGCCCAATGTTCGCAGGTCTAGGGCAACGCCCAGCACGTACGTGAGTGACTCGACTGGATTTCATTGAGCAGCACTGTAGGTTCTTTCACATTGCATAAGCACAAGACATGAAGTGTGAAAGTTGATTGTCGATGTGCTAAGAACGTGACTTGGTGTAGTTTCACCGTAGTACACGTGGACACACACACACACACGCACGCAGAGGGAGACTGCAGCCTACAGCCAATTCCGGCCCATATTGTGCGAACAGCTCTCACATTGGGTGCACGGAGCAACCTCCCAGAGAAGGTGCCTACGTTGGCGTGGAAAAAGTAATGTAACACCTATCATTGTCACTACGTCGCATACAGTCAAACTTCAGTAGAACGTATGAGGGAGTAGTAAAACGCTGGTATTTACGTACTCCCTGAGCGTACCTCTAGGGGACATCCACCTCAGTGATTCACAGGTGAGGTACTTCACACCTGAGGTCTGGGAAAGGATACGCAGGGTCGTCGAAACAGCACTCCACACCCGATGAAAGGAGAAAAGGGTGTTAGACCCTGGGTGTTTAATGTTGAAGTTTAACTTTTATTTCATGCCACCTTGCTTGTCACACACCAATATCGCAACCACGTTAGCTATAATTTTAAAAGTTACTGTCTCCACGCCGACTGTTCACATTACAAGGTAAGGGTATATATTGTGAAATGGGCAATCCTATTTGCACCGAAGGAATTTTTACTGGAGTGACAGTCTATGCACCTCTTATCAGCTGTCACTATCCAAAGATGCCAACGTTTGCCAATTCTAATTTGCTAATCCCAGGAATGCACTATACAGTGAAATTTCCTAGGAAAAGAAGAACTGGTATCTCACCTGCCACTCCCCCGGTACGCATTCAAACATGCCCGCAGCGTTCTAATGGGTAACAGCGGATCCATTACGCTTAGGCAGCGTGCCAGTGACAGATCCAGTGAGATTTTCAGAGCAGGGTACGCGCCCAGCACCAGACATGGCTTCCGAAGCTGGTACTGCGCAGCGAGGAATGCCACTCCGAAGACAAAGTTACCTCCGGCCGAGTCGCCGGCCAGGATGACTTTCTCGGCAGTGGTGCCCAGGCTGGTGGCGTTCCTCAGCACCCAGGCGTACGCGTAGAAACAGTCGTTGACGGCACGTGGGTGCGGGTGCTCGGGGGCCGTCATGTAGTCAACGGACACCACGGGAACGTTGAGCTGGTTGGCCCAGTGGCTTAGATAGCTCTGCATGAACAATACACCGCAAGGAAGACACATGCATAGGGTATACTAATATTATGTACAGTGATGCTCAATGAAATCCGGTCACGTGAGTCAAGTTTGCGCCTTGCACCATTTCGCAGCCCAGTGTTCGCAGGTCTAGGGCTGCGCAACGCCCGGCACGTACTTGAGTGACGCGACTGGATGTCATGGAGCAGTACTGTACTATTGTATATGGGGCCAAATGAAAACCTGGTGCACATCCGTGTTACACACATGGTACAGTATCTTGTTTTATTGGCTACGGCAGCGGAGAAATGGATGGAGCATGGTGGCAGCAAAGCACACCCATTTGTTTCCAATGACCTAGCACATGTGACAGTGACGTTTGCGCCAGAAACCCTCCACCATGGAAGTGAATGATGACTGCCTTAGAAGGCTCAGAGCTAGCACTCTGCAGCAAAAAGAGAGTGTTGAGCATGGTACAGAACAAATCGTCAACGTCAACCGCACATGGCATGCTAACACCTTTGTTTGTTTGTTTTGAAACTCGGATGTTTTTTTCTTCTTTTTTTTTTCTCTACAAAATCCACATTATCTCCAGACACTGGGGTGAATAATGGAGTGTGCATGTGGTGGTGGGCTCATTAAGCTCAGCCGACCAGAGGTCTCGGCTTTATAGCTCCATGGACGCACCAAAGGGGGATCGGGTAGGAGTATCCAAAAGACCACGGACAGCTATTGCACTCTACGGTCGCAGAGCACACATACAAATGCCACCTTACTTCTCACAGTGACTTACATGAAGGCCGAGGCACCGTCCATAGAAGCTTCTCCGCTCCATACTCTCAGCAGTGTCCAGAAAGTCGTCCGGAAACTGAGTATGATCAACGATCAGGTCGCCAGTCTTGTCCATGCCACTTGCGCGACAGCGTAGATGACTTTAAAAAGATGCGCGTGATCCCTGAGCAGCTCTGAATGTTCTTCAAGTGCTGACACAGCCTGTGCGAAATCTCTCTTAGTATTCGATGACGTAAGCAGTGACTTGATGATGTCATCAAGCGCCAATGTACACGTGGAGAATATGGATACACTAGATCGCAGTCCGCTGCTGGCTACACCCGGGTAAGCATTGTAACGGGAACATTGCTGCAGCAAGTAAGGGATGGTGCTGAGCAACGACCCGATCGCAGCGCACAGCATATGACAAGCGGAAGCCAATCGGGACCTCTGCTCCGGACTCAGTGCTCCGCCACCGTTGCTGCGCTGTTCCTGCTGGAGACGCTGCACTTGCGCTAGCAGCCCTTGCAACGCTGCGGTTGTGACACGCGGTGGAGCGGAATAGTGACGCGCTGCACTGCGTGACGCGGGGCATTGCCAGTGATGGTGTGTCACCAGCGACGCAGTGTACTCGCCACGACCTGTGTCCGCTACACTCACCAAGTTCCTGGTACTGACAACAGCTACTGAGCAGGGAGCACCGGTATGCTGTTTCACCACACGGTGCAGCTGGGCAATACGCCGAACTGATACAGCGGGAGCGAGAAAGCAGCCGCTGTGAAGTAACGACAGGTCGAGTGGCGTTACCTGCTACTGTTGATGCCGCCATAACAACAAGCTAGGCAATAAGAGTCCCTTGCCAGGGCAGGCAGTCCAATTGGTTTCAAAGGTTAGGCAAAATCACAAGTCCTGCGGAGCACGTACACGAACACATGTTCAAAGCGCAGGCAAGGCAATTGCAAGCGCATACACACACAAAACAGTTGTGCACGGCACATTCAAAGTACACACTGCTCACACATGAAGACACATAAGCACATATGCGCGCGCACGCGCACACACACACACCGACACACAAGCAAACAGAGAGACAGACACACACACAGATGAGACCCTGACCAAACACATGTACTAGTAAAAGACCGCATGCACAATGTCAATGTGATGCACACCTCCAAGACGGAATGGGCGCTTTCAATAGTACACATACTACTTCTGGTGCTTTGAAGATCCAGAAAACCCCAGTGTAACACCGGCTTTAGCCTACAGGTTTGTACACACTGTGGGTGACATTGCATACGAGTAGATCATCACATCTAGTACGATTGTTCTTCCACTTCAAGAATCGTCCCTTCGTTTCACAGCACAGAATAGCTGTCTCTCAGCTGGTAATCAGCAGGGACATTCTCTACTTGCGAAGACTGAGTGATTGCCAGCACTCGCCCTTTCCTTCCACAAGCGATGTATAGAATAATAATATCACTGTTCGAGTATTTTTCTTTCAAATCCGAGACCATTGACAGGATCGGAAGGAGAGCTCTACTGCAAGCCAGAAGTCAGGCTGGCGTCAGGCTGTCGTGAAAAGTAACGAATTCAAACCGCTCCTCAACAAAATCATTACAGTTAGCAAAGAAGCTAGTTCCAACCAATCCAAGTAGAGTGACTTTCAGGAACTATAAATCCAACGTCTTGTTCATTCAAAGACAGTGCTTTTTTCGCTTCTGCACTGTCTTTGAGTTACGAGATGTATGCGCTCAGCCGCTCACCTGGGTCACGGCGAAGTGTCGTCGCTCTCCCTGCTCTCCGGATCTCCGCAGCCTACACAACGCTTTGCGCTGGTGGCTGTCGCGTGCGGGCACTCCTGGTTGCCATGGTGCAAAAACTGCCGCCCTCCTAGACCAGCGTCCCTTTAGTCCTTCGCCCCGTTTTCACCCCGTATACGGATCATCATGACAACCGACCAAAAACTCCTTACGTGGACGTAGACGCAGCGCTTTGTACCATGGTGTGATGACAGCCTTACCTGCATACATGACTTACACGGCATGGTCACTTGCACCAGTAACTATGTACATAATAATTCCACACTGCCGTTATCATCAAAACAAGTTCCTGTTAACGCGTAACATCTCAGGCTTTGTAGCAGGGAGTAGCACAATACCATTGTACCATTGTGCTACTCCTTGCTTGACACAGACATGCGTCATAGTGACATTTGCGAATAGCTAGCTGTCTCAGCAGTATAACAATTATTTATTTTGTGTTTCACTCAGACGACTATAGCATCTGGATTCGGAATAGCCTCACTATCTTGAGACGGGTCAGCCATACGGGTCAGCCATACCTGAAACATGTCGTTCATTGTGACTAAAAATTGCGTCAACATTATCTATTCCCCTAGAAACGACGTGAATAACTAAAAGTAATACAAATTAAATTAAAAGTGTGAACAACAAAGGAAGTGCTACAGCATTACATAATAGGTGTCAAACATAGTGCTAACGTATATAACTGAGTGCAGCCACAAAGCAAGAGACAACATGTGCCGTTGCACTTATTACCACCAGCTTATTACCACCAGCAGCCAGAGCAAAGAGGCCAAAGCGTGGTAGACCGTGTAAGAACCCAGTTAGCTCAGTAGACAAACACGCTGTGCCGACAGCGCCGCCTGTTCCCGTGCCACCACCGGCCCCACCACCTGGGGTGCCGTGGGTGGCTGGGGCTGGGGTGGGTTTGCCATCATTGACCTGGCCACCACTTCTCGACCCACTGCAAACGGCAGCGGAGCCTACTCTAGCACAACATCATCGTCCTGGAATGGAGGAGGGGCCACCGAGACACACTGAACCTTCACCTCGGCAGTTGCCCTTGCCTCCGCCTGAGCCACCCCCTTTACCTTTGGTGACTACCGAGACGGTGCTGGGATCCACGGTGCCGACTGTGTCTGGACAGAGAGGGAGATCATCGACAAATCAAAATGAAACCAATATCCTCACCCATAGACCCAGAAGAAGCACAGCAAACTATTCACTTGAAATTTATGCACGGAATGGACTTGGCCCACGCAAAATAAATGGGTGTGCAGTAGCAGAGAACCCAGCAACGGTGACGCGGAGCAGCGGTCAAACGACTTGTGATGTTGGTGGAGATGATGGAGCCATGTTGGAGGCTGATAAGGAGTGCAGTGAGACTGAGCATCAAACGGATGATGAGGAAGTGACTGATGATGATGATGGTGGTGATGAGGACGATGATGATGAAGATGAGACGGAGGACGAGGATAAGGCGGAGGAGGTCGAAGGAAGGGAGCGGGATGAGACGGAAGAGAGCGACGTGAGCAAAAAGTCAGCTGTATTTTGTCACTTGTTATCACGTCCAGATTGTCTTGGTGTGTACGATGATTCTCACTTTTCTGTTTTGTGCCATGCAAGTTATGTTAAGCAGTTGAAGGTTCTGGAAGCTGTATGTATTCGTGTGCATAATCCTGTTCTTTGTAAACAAAAGAAGCATGTAGTCGCGCTAAAGTTGTTCTCGTAGCTGGTTATCAGATGTAAATGATGTGTCATGTTGCACTGTATCACCTCTTGCTTTGTGGCTGCACTCAGTTATATACGTTAGCACTATGTTTGACACCTATTATGTAATGCTGTAGCACTTCCTTTGTTGTTCACACTTTTAATTAATTATGCTGTTATAAAATGTTCTATTGTTGTACACAGTACCCTCAGTTCCGATACTATTCACTGATGAGCGGAACACGAAAATCGATTTTGAATAACATACAAATTAAATTAGGAAAAAAAATTCACTCTTACAAGCCGCCCACGTAAATACTGGACACGCCCGTAATAGTGCTCTCCGATCATTCCCCCATGCCACGATCCAAGACTGGAATCGTCTCCCATCCGCCCTGCTACGCAACCTTCCCACGCAGAAGGGAATGCCGGCATTCAAGGAAGGCGCCTACAAGTCGCTCCGCAGCCGAGACTGGCGTTCAGCCACAGATGCCCTGTGAACACTCCCTGAACACCCTCTCTGCTTGCACCCTGGCTCCCCCCTTTTTTATTTATTTTTTTATTTTTTATTATTTTATTTATTTTTTATTTTTATTTTTTATTTTCTTCCTCTATCACATGTATCATCTTTCCGTTTTTCCTTCCTCTATATAAATGTACCCCCCCCCTCCCCTCCCCCTGTGCCTACTCCTCCCCAGTTTTTGGTGCTCTGAAGTGTCGCTGAAGCCGGGACCTCAGGTCGGCGGAGATGCTCCAGTTTTCACCACCACAGTTGCGTCTGCAACCACCTCTACCATGCAGTATTCTGTTCTCGAGGTTCGTGGTTTCTCGTAAGAAAAAAAAAAAAACACACACACACACACACTGAAGGTACCCGTGCGAAGGCCAGCTGCTACTTGATATCCTTCGTAGGATTCATCCTCATCACTCAGCAAAGACTGATGGATTCTTTCCCTACATCGCGAAAAGAAACTTCAAACAGTACTGCTCGAAAACTTGCTGACAGCATTCTGGCACTCTCTTGAAGTGGTTCTATGAAAATGTTTGAAAAATGCTACGAAATTTTTTACCGGTATCGCAGGATTTATTAAACTCTCAAAATAGAAAAGAAAAACGTAAAATGTTTGGCACCTATGAAGTCAGGGGATGGCCCACGCCTGGTAAAAAAAACAATGAGGAGTTAAATACAAAGAAAACGAGCTGAAAATACAAAAGTAAATGAAACACCATTACCTAAGAAACTGTACTGTATCATGTACACCGTTTATGGCACCAGGGCACATTCAGCAGCCGCCAGCACAGCCGAACCAGACAGATGTCGAGGCGGGTTCCGACGGTGACCACGTAGACTGGCAATCATTGTTCGAACAAGGCAAAAGAGATCTTCGCCCGTACAAAAGCCATCATAACCGGGAAAGGCTCACGGCGCTTTTCACACAGCTTGCTGGCAATCCTGGCGAAGAGGGCCGAAGCAGCTTTCCCCTGGCCGCCAGTGGTTGCAAAAACCACGGGAACGAACGGTGAATGCTCCACCTCCAGGACTCGCCGCTCATACTTACGCCTCTTCTCCTGCTCGTGCTTTCTGTAGACAGACGGGAGAGTAAGGTTTCTGTTGGAGGGGACAAAAGGGTTAAACACCCGAACACCA